TATATATATATATATATATATATATATATATATATATATATATATATATATATATATATATATATATTACGCGTTTACTTACTGCTCGCTTGTATTTTTGGCTCATATGGTGCTCACGTCATTTGGGGTGTGCAACTCGCAGTCGCTAACGAGAAGATATAAGATTCGCTATTTTTATAACTTGTCTCCTTCTTTATTTCTTTTTATTTGCCTTTTTATTTCGTATTTTACTTATTCATCTCTTCTCCTTGGCATTCTTATCGTTCAGTTTACTTCTTTTTCATTTTTTTTATATTTCTCTTCCTAAGCATCGTGTCATGTATTTTACTTCTTTCTTTGCTGTCTGGCTAACTTTCTTTACTTTGATTTGTCTTATTAGCCTTCTTCTCATATATTGCACTTCTTACTGTTTTCAACCTAATATCTGCATAATGTAGTATATAGGTACAAATGTATGTATGTATATATGTATATATATATATATATATATATATATATACATATATATATTTCTATAGGCATTGACTTCATCGTGTTTATCCTTCTCCTCCTAGTGGGTTGCTGAGGCAGCAGAAATGGCTTGGGTTGAGGAGTGGTGGGGTCGGTGGTGTTTGAGCTTACTGTGGCTCTGAAAGACTGAAAGGAGGCTAAAGATATAGTAGCAGTGTTAATACTAATAGTAATAAGAATAGTAGTTGTATTTGTGGTTGTGGTAATACTAAAAAGTGCGAATATAATAAAAGTAATATATAGTAAATATTGCTAGCAAACAAAACAATAGTTAGTAACGCTACTAGTTGAAAGAATAGTAGTAATAACAATAGCAATAGTTTTAGGAATTATAAAAATAATTATAGTTATGATGGTAGTTATAATAATATCGTAGAATATCCGCTTACTATTTTTGTCTGTCTGTACACTTGCGCAAGGCGATCGCTTACGTCTCTGTTGGTAGCAGCTGAAACAAAAGGATATATTAACTACAATTTATGGCTTGTTTATAAAAATCAATTGTTTGTTAGTAATATTAAATAACTTATAGAAAAACAATCGATGATTTATTAACAACATTTGATGTTTTTTTTTTACAACTACTTATTTGGATAGTTTATGAGCGACAATAAAGAATTTACTAGAAAGAAGAAATAAATAGCAGTTGATGATATATTAGTGAAGGTAAAGTATTTATATATTGCAATAGTGGATATATTATTATTAACAGTAAAGGATTGTATGGTGAAGAATATTTAATAGTAGCAGTAAAACAACTGATATAGAAACAAGCAAACAATGAATAAAATATATTAATTATTTATATCAACTATGAACGATTGCTTAATGAGGCAGATTATTTATTACTGGCAAAAAAAGGATTAACTAATAAAATATATTATACATTAATAACAACAAAATATAAGTTATTTTTATTAACTTTTTAATAAAGTTTTATATTCACGCGTAACAAACACCAAACCCCCACCGACTCTATGCTGCACTGAGTATACACCGCAAGGGCTTTGGGGCTGCCGCGGCGGCGTTTTTCGTCTGATGTAGAGGAGGCGAAGCAAATGCCATTTGATTTGTTTTGGAGCTTATAAATATTGTAAATTAGAAACAAATAAGTACATAATATCCTGCTGCTGTACAGACAGCCAACAACAACAGCGGCAAAACCGCACCAGCTCCACCTGGGTTTTATTCGCACGCCTCCCACGTTGCCTGCAGCCTCAAATTCAAATTCAGATTCAAACTAAAATTATTTTAATCACATCTCCTTAGATTTCTTCAGGGCTACCCTTGCTCTCCTCTGCTGCGGCGGTGTCAATAAGCAACGCCTCCTGCTGCTGCTGCTGCTGTTGTTGGAGCCACAGCAGCAGGCACAAGCATATCCCCCCAAACACATGTATGCATGCATGCATGCATACATGCATGCGTGCTTAACACACATATCCTCAAGCACATGCGTGTACGCATGCATGCATGCACGCATGCATGCGACCTTTCGTAGGTCCTTGCATTCTTAGTTCTTCACCTAAGCACGCAAAAACCCAACTCCGGCCTTCTCCTCTTTCTTATGGCTGTCTTCTTGCGCGGCTTGAGCCGCGCTGATTTGCCTTGTGGGCGGACAGGAGGTTTAGTTTCTTTCTTAGGGCCTTCTCTAAGCAACAGCAGCAGCAACAGCAGCAGCGGCGGCATCTGCAGCAGCAGCAGAAGCAGCAGCAGCTTCAAGCAAGCTCCTTCACCGTATGCGAGTTTGCTTGTGGCCTGCAGCTACCTGCGTTTCTGTCTACATGCGAGGCAGAGCGGAGGGCCCCTTGGGGCCCCTCAGCCCCGCCGCAGCCCCCAAACCCTCGAGGGTCTCCGGGGCCGCACCGGTTGCTGGCAGCAGTTAACCACACCAAGCAGCAGCAGTAGCAGCAGGGGGAGCATCCGTTGCTACAGCAGCAGCAGCAGCAGCAGCAGCAACTATGTTGTGCGTGTGCCTCCTTTGGGGGATTCTATAACGGAAGGAACTGTATTAAAGTGGCTGCATGCAGAGGGCTCAGTGGTGCATGCAGAAGAGGCGTTGTGTGTGCTGGAGACAGACAAAGTTGCTGTTGATGTCGCAGCAAAAACTACAGGTAAGCTGGTGCGCATTGCAGCACCAGCAGGCACCAATGTCGTCGTGGGCGGAGAGCTCGCCGTGATTGAACCTCTTGATGCTGATGCTGCAGCAGCAGCAGCAGCTGCTGCTGATGCTGCTGCTGCACCCGCAGCAGCAGCAGCAGCACCTGGAGCAGCTGAAAGCGCAGCTGCTGCCTCACCCACCGTGCAGCGGCGCAGGCCCAGCATTCTCTTTAGGAGTGTACGCAACAGACTGGAACGCCTCGGCCTCCTTCCTCATCAGCAGCAGCAGCCTGAGCAGCAGCAGCAGCAGGGGAAACCACAAGGGGCGACAAGCAGCAGCCGCAGCCAGCAGCAGCACGGTGCTGCAGCAGCAGCAACGCCATCAACTTCATCAGGGCCCGGGGGTGTGACAGTCATCAGGTCAGCTGCGCAAACAAACAGAGAGAGAAAGCAAGACAGAAGGGGACAGAGACAAAAAGAAACAAACGGAGATAGAGACAAACAGACACAGAGATAGAGACAGAGAGAGAGACAGAGAGTCAAGCAAACAGCAACAGAGAGAGGCAGATACAAACAGAGAGACAGACAACTACAAACATAAATATCCATTTTTTCTGTGTACACACGATAGCCCTCCTGACACGCATGCATGCATGCATGCATGCATGCATGCATATGTGTTTGGGGTGTATGTGCATACACCCGCCGTTGCTTGAGTTCCTCTATTCATTTGTTGTATGCGAGTTGTAGCTGCAGCCTGGTGCTGTTTGTTGCTGCATCAGCAGCAGAAGCAGAAGTTTGTTTCTGGCGTATGAGGTGTGCTGCACTGCCTCTCTGCTGTTGCGTTGTGCTGTAGGTACACCGGAATGGAGCAGCTGCCGCCATCCCTGCAGCCGCGGGCTCTGAGCCCAGAAGAAATTAATATTATAAACGACGGGGGCCTCGCCAATGCAGACACTGCAGTGCGCGCCTGGACCGTATCCCTCTGCTTCAACCCAGCTTCTGCTGCTGCTGCTGCTGCTGCTGCTGCGGGGGGCAGCAGCAAGCGGGCCAAGAAGGGGGCCTCCTCCTAAACAGCTGCCGCACAGCGGGGCCCCGGGGCCCCCTGCTGTCCACCGACACAGCCAAGCGCATGCGCAGCAGCACAGGAAAGCAGAAGCTGCAGCAGCGGCAGCAGCTGCAACAGCAACACCGGCGGCACAAACTGCAGCATTGGATGGTGCAGCAACTACAGCAGCAGCAGCAGCCACAGCAGCTGCAGCAGCTGCGGATGCTGCAGCAGTTGCAGATGCTGCAACCGACAAGTTGTTGTGTACTGTTCCCCTTTTTGCTGAGACTGCCATTTGTGTTTTTCCTCGTGTTGCTGTTTCCGGTGCTGTTGCTGCTTCTACTGCTGCTGCTTCTGCTGCTGGT